ATTAACTTCTTTTAAATGTTCCTCCCACTCTAATGTGGTTTGGACAGGTTTTCTGGTCATCTCACGACAAACAGCTGGAAACTACATCACTGATCAAACTCTTGCATGCTATTCGAAGATATCACATCCAAATTCATCAAGGATAATTAAATCAATGCCATTCAAATGTTCATACCGGTTATGTATGTGGTTTGTACGAGTTATCAATATTGCCATTTGGTATAAAGAACAGAACTAAACATTATAAATTGCAAACTTGTGCTATTTTGAATGCACTAAAACAAGACTTTGTCAAAATATGAAATAAAAATAGCAGCAAAAATACAACAAAAGATTATTGTAAAGGATTTCACTGGAAAAAAAAAAATACTACGACAAAAAAATAAGTAAAAAGCATGAGACGAAATCCAAGAAACTGTTTAACTAGAACTTCAACAGAACTCATGACAAACCAAACTAAATCCAACTACCGTAAACTAGCACAGATCGGATGAAAGCGCTTCAGCGAGTGTGTGCACAAGACACTGACCTTGCACAGTTTCTGGTAACGTGGTGAGGATATCGCCATTCTCTGGAGCCGGTGTAAGAAGACCACCACTTTCTGCAGAGACGTCCGAACTACAGCCATCATCTTAACTCTGCCAGCACACGACTGCCAGCGTCTGAGAGCACGCATCCTCACCGCCACACACACTCACACACGCTCACATATCCCCCACCACCAGCCGAGCGAAATGTGACGAGCCCTAACAAACATGTCCCACACACACACGCGCGCACACTCAAGTGCATCAGGACTGAGACGGCAACGAGAACTCCCTTCTCTCCAGCGATAAACATGAGTCATGGAGAGAGAATTAACACCGAACGACAAAAAAGACAATGACCGAGGGAGAGAAAGATGCTGTGAGAGAGGGGGGAGAGAAGGGTTGATACAACGGACGGAGAGAAACTCCGGAGAGCGTTCAAGAGACGGAGTGTCTCTTTCGGTGCCAAAAGAATGAGAACGAGAGGGTGTATAAATTCATAAAGGGAATGAGTGAGGGTGACACACTTTACTGAAAGAGAGCACATCTCCTGAGAGACAGAGAAATAGAGCAGTGAGACACATCAGAGAAATGAGGGAGACACGAGGAGAACAGTAATGATTCGAAATGGAAACCACTCGCTCTTTTGCGGTGTGAAAGTGCTATTATTATCTCATTCTGCGCTTCTGATGATGACCCTTGACGACAAACGTTCACAAAGCTAACATGAAATCAATACTGACCACATTTACGTCCTTAAAGGAATAGTTCACCCAAAACTTAAGATTCTGAGCACATTTCATTCCAGACCTGTATGACTGACTTCGTTGGAACACAAAATGAGACATTTTGAAGAATGTGCTGGTCACTCTTTTCCATGCGATTACAAGTTTAATTTCAGGTTTAAGCTTCCAAAAGGACACAAAAGCACCATAATATTATCATTATAGTACAGAGATAAAAAAAAAACAAACAAAAAAAAACCTTTTTTTTTTTGCAATTTCCAAAGCTTATGAAACCGTGCAATAGCTTTGACTTAACCAGACTATTTATTTATTTACTGATTATATATATATATATATATATATGAGTGAGACACATCAGAGAAATGAGGGAGACACGAGGAGAACAGTAATGATTCGAAATGGAAACCACTCGCTCTTTTGCGGTGTGAAAGTGCTATTATTATCTCATTCTGCGCTTCTGATGATGACCCTTGACGACAAACGTTCACAAAGCTAACATGAAATCAATACTGACCCCATTTACGTCCTTAAAGGAATAGTTCACCCAAAAATTAAGATTCTGAGCACATTTCATTCCAGACCTGTATGACTGACTTTCTTCGTTGGAACACAAAATTTGACATTTTGAAGAATGTGCTGGTCACTCTTTTCCATGCGATTACAAGTTTAATTTCAGGTTTAAGCTTCCAAAAGGACACAAAAGCACCATAATATTATCATTATAGTACAGAGATAAAAAAAAAACAAACAAAAAAAAACCTTTTTTTTTTTGCAATTTCCAAAGCTTATGAAACCGTGCAATAGCTTTGACTTAACCAGACTATTTATTTATTTACTGATTATATATATATGTATTTTTTTGTATATTAACATTATATCACTTAAATGAAAGATATGGCGCAGAGTTGTAAAAAATTGTCACCCCCTAATACCCTGAACACACGGTCAACATACTTTTACAATGAACTTCTGGCAACCACAGTAGACTTTTCCCTCTTTATTACCATAATTTCTGACTATTTTATTTATTTATTTTAATTTATTTAATTTGATTTATTCATTTATTTAGAGTTGGGATCCATTTAAGGATTCAGCTAATTCAGTTCACAAAACCGATTTAAATGATTCATTCTTGAATCTGTTCCAATTCTCAATGATCTAGTTGTAAAGATTAAATGTTGGAGGGAGGGAAAGATTTTAGAAAATAAAACCTTGTGTCAAATGGACCACTATCATGGTACTTCTATGGTGCTTTTGTGTCCTTTTTAAGCTTCATTCACTGTAACTGTATGGAAAAGCGCAACCAGCACAGTCTTCAAAATATCTTCTTTTTGCGCTCCACCGTAGAATTAAAGTCATACAGGTTTGGGACAAAAAGAGGATGAGTAAATGATGACAGAATTTAAATCTTTTGGGGGGGGGTGAACTATCCCTTTAAGTAAGTAAAGGGAGTCAATTCTAATTTCATTTTAGGTCAACATCACAAATCTATTTTCAGCCCCTTCCTTCCAACCACCTGCCTCCATTATAGTATACAACAGCCACTTTTCACCATCCAATCAATTCCAGATGAATCAAATCCTGCTGTTTCACTCAGAAATACATCACAATACAACATTTCACATTCAAGAGGATAGAAACACTACAATCTCTTAGCTAAACAAACACTCATAGTGTTTGCATCTCAGATCTGTGTCTGTCTCTCTCTGTCTCCTGATGAGCGATCGATAAGTCTGTCTGTCTAGTCACACTAACCACTAGCGACTCAGTGTGATTTGAGCGTGATTCAGTTGTACAGTGACAAAGATGGATGGGGAACAAACAACAGTAAACAACAAAATGCCAACCATGAGCTCGTGTACACTTTTAGGGCACTTGATGAGCAAATGCCATTTCTTTCAAGCATTTTTTTTTTTGTGCAAAACAACAAAAAACAAAAACAGAACGGCATCAGAAATATACAAGGAAAAGACAAAAACAAAATACATGATAACCTACACTCTTACACACAGCTGCTTTACGTCACAGCCAGCACTTCAACACTATTGTCATGGGAATAACAGGAAAGCAGTTCTCACTGAAATGATAAAGACATCAGTGAGTCTATTTCTCATGTCACTCTCATTGACGTCAAACAAACACAGACATCAGCCAAGACTGAACACTTTCATAACATGCCATTCTTTAGTCATCACCTGCGTCTTTTACATGCTTGTAAGGAAATCAATAATCTGAACATGTCCTTGAGAAACATGAAAAAAGACAAAATAATTGATGATGGGTGACTACAAAGTAAGGATTATGGCAAAAATAAAAGAAACTGTCAATGACTAAGTGGAAGACGGATGGAGAAAGAAAGAAGCTGAACTGAAAACAGATAAAAAGCAAAAATGTGCATGTCAAATAAAGTGATTTAAACATTTATGCATTTAGCAGATGCTTTAATCTAAAGCCACTTATTTTCAAACTCTATAGTTTATTAAAATCTGTGACTCTGGAATCAAACCCACAACATTGGCTTTACTTTTAGTGCATGTGAACAAACTGGGGAAACATCCCTAATTGCATTCGTTCATGCATGCATGCATCAATTCATTAATTTATCAAATTCAAAGAAATATCAATACTATTGAAATATATACTAGTATACTACTGAACTGTAAAGTATTTAATAATAATAATTATTATTAAATAATATTATTTATGGCTGTTTTTTTACTTTGCTTTCAAACACTTTTATTTTGGCAGGAAGCCACAGGACATCATCTCTTTTTAAATGCTTCTCTTTTGATGACAACAGATTTATAAACCCTCGTCATTACAAACTGGGGGGAAAAAGTTTGGTGCATTATGTGTATCAAATGCACGTCATATGGGACTCAAACTCACAGCACTTGCAGAGTTCATGTAATAATGATAATAAACAAACAAATAAATAAACAAAAATATGCAAAAGTGTGAGCAGTTTTGACCCCGTAAAGCCCTAAAATCTTCAAATGAATGAATTGAGGGCTCTGCACTCAGATGTTGAAGTGACAATCGTCAATACACTTCACTAACGGCCTTCACGAAAGAATTCAGCAGCTCACTTTGGTTTCAACTGACCCTACAAACGTCCTCGCAGTGCCCTTCACGGGTGCAAAAATGCCATGTTGCCAAGCAACATTACAATAAAAGATTATTCAATGAATTGGTGCGACTTCACACTTTAGAGTGGGGACAGTCGGTTTTAGTGTGTTTAGTGCATTTGTAGTGTGTAGGCTGCTGAATGCTAGTAGGCAGTGAGAGCGTACAGTCGTGATTAGAGCGGACAGCAGATAAAGAGATCAAACTGTGATGTATGAATCTCACAGGACAAACACAGACTCGGAGGAGAGAGAAGAGAAGAAAGACACGCTCTTTCACAGCTGAAGTGATCTGTACCTTGATTACACATATGCTGCGGGTCTGACTGACGAGGGAACTAATGAGGACTTACGGAGAGATAATTGAATATCGTTCACATGCACTTTAGTTCCCGAATCTTCCAGATTCGCCTGCAGTCCACACACTGATCGTCTCATGCATTTCCGTAGTCAAAATCAAAACTGGCAAGTGCTAGCTGAAAATCACAAGCTCAAATCTGATTGGTTGGTTTCACACAACTTCTGGGATGCCAAAATAAGCTACAAAGTTGGCTCTCATCCCAAATGGATTTGATGGAATATAAGTATGTAGACGTTCTTACCCCAAGCTGCCCCTTCAGCTCTTTGATGTGGGCGGAGTCCTGCGAGAGCTCCTCCCTCTGGGCGGCATCAGATAACACGTTGACTGTAGTCTCCGCCTCATGGAGCCACTTGAGGAAGGACTCGAGCTCACGGAGACACGCCTGGAGAGACTTCAGCTCTGAATCCAACGCAGCCTGACGGTCCGAAGCCCTGATGACCACAAACCAGTACAACACACCGTGCTACAATCAACGACGCTGAAAAAATCTAAACAACTCTAGTCAACACACAAACATTTCCTTCATATTAGCGAAGTATTAATTATGGTGGTAATATGTGTGCAATCATAATGCAATATTCATATAACCACAATGTTTATAGTATTTCCTACTACTATATTATCATGGAAGCATTTATTAACATTTATTTCTGTCATGATAACTCTCGGAGGGATTGGCATGGTAATGTACATGACAATGTTAATGTATTTGGTCTTGGCGGAATAGATCTACTATGCTGCTGCTGCTGCTGCGGCAGAGCAAGTACCGAGACTTGCTACTGCCAATACATCCACAACATGCTGCTGTGAGCATGTAAGAAATATTGCTGCTGCAAATATAGCATACATGAATCACCTCGTAGCAGATCTATACAGGTGGAGCTGTGGAAGGTGGAGGGTTTCTGAAGCAAGCTGCAACTGCTACGGCAAGCACTAGTCATATATTTGAATGTTGAGCAGCGAGCTCATTGGCTACAGATACAAGAGAGAACCAATCAACTGCCATGTGATAATGATGTCATTAGGTCAGATTGAGTTCGACCTATCGGACTGCGCCATCTAGAGTTTCATGCCAGAACTCTGTATATATACGGTATTTGTAAAAGCATAATCAAGGTAGTATCTAATAGAGCAGTTATTACAATAGTATATATTAGTATTTATGAAAGCATAATTATAGTAGCATTTAATTTCACAACATTATGTATTACCACAATATTTGTAAACGCATAATCAAAATAGTATTTAATACAGCAATATTACTGCAGTAGAATTTGTTAGCATTTATTGAAACAATATTAATAAAAGCTTACTTTGAGTAATTTTAAAAAGTATTGAGTATTTATTACCATTAATTGCATTAAAACAATTATGGTAGTATTTATTACAAGACTATTAAATGTTTATTAATTAGTTATTAATATTGTATCATATTAAGTATTTATTAATATGTATTGATGTGATATTAGTGAAAGCATAATTACAATAAGATTTGTTACTATATTTTTACAGTAGTATTTTGTGTGAAGTATTTTTTATTTCAATATTACAGTAGTATTTATTATAATAATATTATTATGGCAGTATTTATTAGCATTTATTTACAAAATATTTGTGAAAGCATAATTATGTTATAATTATTCTTACAGCAGTATTTTGTGAGAGCATAATAATTACTTCAATATTGTTATTGTAGTATATATTATAACATTATGATGAAAGTATTATAAATAGTTATTGACATTATTCATGAAAGCATAATTATGATATAATTTATTCCTAAATTATTCTTACAGTAGTATTTTGTGAGAGCATAATAATTACTTCAATATTGTTATTGTAGTATCTATTATAACAATATTATAATGACAGTATTATACATATTTATTGACATTATTCATGAAAGCATAATTTATTACCAAATTATTATTACAGTAGTATTTTGTGAGAATAATTATGGTAAAGTATTACTTAAATATTATGGTAGTATTTATTATAACAACATTATATTTATATCCTTTATTGATATTATATTCATAAATGCATAATGATGATTCAATGTATTACTAAATTAACATGGTAGTAGTATAAATTCAATATCTTTATGGTAGCATTCATATCTGCAATATTTGTAAGAGCACAGTTACGGCAGTAGTATTTATTACCACAATATTATCATGATAACATTTCTGCAAAATTCCTAAAAGTGCAATAACTGTAATATTTATGATGGTAGCATATATTACTGCAGTATGTTACTGCAATATTGTGGTAGCATAATAACAACAACAGTGTTTATTACCATAATAGTATTACAGTAGTATTCATTACCACAATATTACATGCCACAGCAATAACATTTATGGAGGGAGATGTGATGATGATCTGTGTGTCGAGAAGTGTGTGTGCTGTGTCATATCTGTACATGCTGAACATTAGTGTGATTATGTGTGTTTATGACACACCGTGTGTGTGTGTGTGTGTGTGTTTATGACACACTGTGTGTGTACACGATTCATTTCCTCTCATTTATTGGAGATTAGGGAAATGAACATGCTCATAAATACACATGCAGACTGATGTGTGAGCACATACCTGTTATTGACGCTGTTCCACGCCGTGTTGAGTTTGTCCATGACCTCTGTGACCTTGCGCGTGTCGTCAGCGGCATATTCCTGCAGAAGCTGATTGGACAGTTCATTAAAGGACGTCACGCTCTCCTGTCCTCGACTGAGCTCCTGCAGGAACGCCTGACAACAAAAATAAATCAATACATAAAGCTACCATCTAAACAGCTCCACAAGAGAGTGGAGTCGCTACAGAAGTCAGATGATGTTTGGTTCATGTGTGTCCATGGCTGCTGAAAGTAACTTTACCTCAAAGGACTTCAGAAAATCATGGCCAACAACCTTAAAATCTTTATTTCTAACCCAAGGCAAACACTGAAATATATGTTCATGCCTAAAATACCTACTCACTTTAAAACATTTGAATAATATATGAATACCAAACAATAATGCAGTGAAATTATGACTCTAGCATCCCCTACAGGTACGTCTCAGTAGTGTGTGTGTGTGTGTGTGTCAATTCAAAAGCCTCATTTACACCTGTGCATATTAAGTGCACGACTCCTTAGAAATGTTCTTAAGAAGAGTCTGCATAACCAATATCAAATCTAATTCATTCATGATTTAATGCAATGTTTAATCTGACAATCATTTCTTCAATACAGTGATGAGAAGCCGTTTTTTCCCCCCTTACATATGTTATGTGGATTATATAAAGGATTTCAAACACTGTTAAAATAGAAGCTAAACACATAAACATTGAATTAATATTAGTGCCGTAATAATTATGTGAAAGCATAATGTAGTATTTAACAGTGTAATATTATCACAGTAGTATTTGTTAGTATTTATTGCAATATTTTTTTATGAAAGCATAATTATAATATTATTTATCATCAAAATAATATTATTAGTATTAATAGTATTTATTAGCATTTATTTCCAAAATATTTGTAAAATCAAAATCATTTAGAACAGCAGAGCAAAATCACTACAGTAATATTTATTGGCATTCATTAAAATAATATTAATGAAAGCATAATTAAAATAGAATTGAATCACAATATTGGAGTATTTATTAGAATTTGTTTCCAAAATATTTGTAGAAGCATAACCAAGGTAGCATTTAATAGATCATAATAATTAAAATTGTGTTTATTAGCATTTATTGAAGTAATATATAGTAGTATTTAATACCACAATATTATGTGAATAGTTATTAGCATTCATTGCCACAATATTTATAAAACATAATTATATGGTATAATTTTTTACAACATTATTATTATTATTATTATTATAGAATTTATTGACATGATATAAAAGCATAATTACCAAACTGTACACAACTCCTCAGAAATACTCTTAAGAACAGTCTACAAGACTAATATTAAATCTCATTCATTCATGATTTATTGCAATGATTAATTTGACTATAATTTATTCAATTAATTAATGAGACATTGATGAGAGGCCCCTTTTATTTGGATTATACGTAGGATTTCAAATAAATGTAGCTACATTTGATATTCAAACGGCTAATTTTACATCAATATGAACATTTTAGTAATTTTATTTGCACTCTGTTTGTTGAAGCGAATGTTCACTCGCTGTTTTGCAGAACACAAACACTTGCATGTCTTTCAATTTTGCATATTTACAGATGAGAATATGTCAGGAAATGGAAGTTATGCACTGGGGAGAAACATCAATCTGGCAAAGCATGTGACGCATCAACCTGCCCACATCAAACTCAATGCTTATAAGCTTATGGAGTGCTCACATGATTCGGACAACTTGGGTTTACGCCACAGCGCACATATCTAACTAATCGATAATGAAATTAGTTATTTTATTTTGCAGCTCTAGTGATCTACAACCTGAAGAAAGCAAATCAATTTCTTCAAAAGTTGTTGCCCTCCAATGAGTTCAAATGAACATGAAGTAACCCTAATAATACTTGTTTTTTGTTTGTTTGATTGTTTGTTTGTTTGTTTTTATTACAAAAATATAATATTGATATTTGTTACAGAGTTAAGAGTTTGATAATAATTAAACTTAAAAAATATAATAATAATTTAAGAATAGTTTATTACTTTTTAATTAATTTAACAATGAAAAATCTACTATTTACTATGTAAAACTATTTAAGGCCTGAATAGCTTTGCTCACAAACACTAGATTATGAAAATAACCTTTCATGCAGTGTGTAACAGCTCTAAGTGAATGAAAACATCCTGCAAAGTTTTAAATCTGAAAGTGCACCGTGTATAAAGTTGTCTCTTAAAAGAAAGAGTCGACTCTGAATCATTGAAACGAGTCGTTTTTAAAACGAAAAACGAATCGTTTGGGAGTCGTTGAGCAAATAAGATAAATATAAATGCATATTATAAGACAATGAAAGTGTTTTTTGACCTTGCATGCATGTCAACCTGTTGTTGGGGACTCCCAAAACCAAAATATGAACCTTTCATTACCCATAATAGGGGCACTTTAAAGTACCTTCTGATCACACTAAAGATTGTCTAAAGATTCTTAAACCAAGATGCATTTACTTAAAAAAACTGAATTACAAAATAAAAAATCTTGTTTTATGGACAATTGATGAACGAAGTGAGTTTATGATTTAAAAAGAACAAGCATCTGCAAACGGGCTCAGAAAAATCAATAATTCAAAACACTATTACTCTTGTTTAAACTCACTTAAATTTGATTAATTTCTCAAAAAACAATATCGTCATTTTTAGGGATGGGTACCGAAACCCGGTATTTAATCGGTCCCGGGGCTAAATTATGAAAGACCGGAGTATCGATAAGCTCTGACGTTAACGGTCCTGCTATCGGTACTGGAGAAATTAATAAAACACACATACATTTATTATTGCTATATATACATTATCTTGCAAATTCTATCTCACCAGAGTCACCAGCTGTTTTTCAAACATTTGTCTATGATGCATTATTGCTATTAGCAATTCAGAAGAGATCGCGCTCAAGCGGAGGAGCTTCAGCACGCGCAACATGAAAGCCCTGTTTAATTATTAAAACCTTAACGATACCCATCCCTAGTCATTTTGCATCTCAAGTTAATGTATCTTGGTTTAAGGATGGTCAGAAATTTGTATTTGAAAACAAATATACTGAGGAATTTTGCAATGCATAAAACATTTAATGCCACGACTTTCTGCTCTGATTTAAGACCATTTTTAAGATCTGCAGAAACCCTGTGCTACTGACATACACAACTACATTTTCAGTGCTTTGCCATCACGTGTTGCTACAATTTGACAGTCACATCAAAACTATCTGCTGAGCTTGATCAGCCGCCCAAAGAAGCTGCCTGAATACTCACAGGACTTTGAAAATGAAAAGATAAATACATTTGAAAAATAAATCAATCAAATGCCGTACTCATATGATTCACTTGCTTGGTACTTAAAAGCAATCATCTGTATTTGAACGTTGGAATTCATTAACATCTGTAGCGAGCTGTTGATAACCACAGGAAATGAAAAGATTTTACAAGCTTCTTGAGCCACAAAAAGATGGCATGCTCTGTCTGTAATTATAAACCAGAAAGATGACTCTTTTGTCAAGTGAGCAGCTCTATTTTTTTGTTTCTAACGAGCGCACAAAGCTATAAACACATCAAACCTCATATAAAACCACATGCACTGAATTTCCTGTGCTCAGAACTCTTGAATTCATGAACTTCAGCTATATTGTGTTCATTTGGGGGAGAAAATGAGCATGATGAGAAAATAAATTAAAGTGATATCAAACCAATAGGATGATAACGCCTACAAAAAAGAGAAGCTTGCTGCATTGACAAAGAAATATGGAGTTGGAGGAACACTGGAGGAAGTGTTATTATGGACTATATATTTTAGCCAGAAGCAATGGTTTGAAGTTAAAAACATCTTAATGATGGGTTTGTTTCTTACAAACATGCAGCTTTTGTCTTCTCAAGACATTAACTGATGGACTGGAGTGGTGTGGATTACTTGTGGATTATTGTGATGTTTCTATCAGCTGTTTGGACTCTCATTCTGACGGCACCCATTCACTGCAGAGCATCCTTTGTTGAACAAGTGATGCAATGCTACATTTCTCCAAATCTGATGAAGAAACAAACTCATCTACATCTTGGATGGCCTGAGAGCAAGGACATTTTCAAAAAATTTTCATTTTTGGTAGAACTATTCCTGTAAGCTGTAATGTATTTGTCCAGTTTGATTGGCAGTTCTTTAATTAGGTTGGATGATTAATCAAAAATTTATCACATCTGAAGTGTTTATTTAATAAAAAAAATCTGAAGCTTTTTCATTGAAAAAAATCATAGTGGGCTTAATTGGAACATGTACCTTTTACAAGGCCACTCCGGACTTTTAATTAAATAAGGCAATTTAATTGTATCACTTCCTGACAAAACATCCCATTAGTGTTTATTCTTCACTTTAATAACCACTTTAGTGAAAGACTGTTCAAATATCTGTAAGACAACATGTAGAGCTAAGATTCAGATGATCTTAATAGGGTCACTTCCAAAATTAATTAAATGACAAAAAGTGAAAAAATAAAAATAAATAAGCCTAATGGATTTCTTCTCTTCGCTCGACTACAAATCACACTGATCCAGATCCGTGTCATCAAATAAATCGAAAACAGTATTTCTTTGTTGGAAAGTGCATTTGTCTGCACCTCCCAACTAGGTTAGGACAAAGAATTCAGGAGCTGAGACCAATGAAAATTATGTTTTACTGGAAGAAGAGCAAATCTTTACACATTTAACAATTTGACCTCTTACTGACTGAAAGGTCACACAGGTCAAAGGTCAAGATCTCACCTTGTTGTCACTGATCTGTTTGGTGAGCGGCTCTCGGTTCAGCTGCAGCAGGTTGTGCAGACGCATCTCGTTTTGACCAATCAGAGCCTTCAACTTGTGCCTCTGCTCCTCCCATTGGTCGCTGTGGCCAATCATGCATTCCAGCTGCAGAAGCCGCGCCTCCACGCCATGCTGTGTGCCGTCCCATTGGCTGCGGACCTTCTCCACTGACACACAGCAGAGAGAGAGGAATGAGTCTCACTATCTCACACAACAGATGCTCCACACGCTTCTCCATTAATACACGTCCTCAGTTTACTAAGTGTGAACGTCTGAGGTGTTATTCATCAGAGCCACCGTTTGTGTTCACTTTTTTCTTTTATTTATTTTTATATAACAATAGCCAATTTGTCAAAGTCTGCGGTACTTCCTGACCAAAAAACAACAACTTTAAGAACTCTAACTAGACTGAATATATGTAATACATTAAATAATGGATATAACATCTAAAGGGGCAAAAAGTTGCACATTAGATTAGACTAAAATGATGACTAAAAATGATTAAGAATCACAAGAAAGACAAAGGCCCGGTTTCACAGACAGGGCTTAGACTAAACCAGGATTAGGCCATAGTTTAATTAGGACATAATTAAGTAATTTTTATTAACATGCCTTAAAAAACATCACTGGTGTGCATCTTGAGACAAAACAAAGGCACTGATATATTTTAAGATCAGTCAGTGCAAGTTTCTTTCAGTTAAAACAGCTCAGATTTACACTTTAGTCTGGGACTAGGCTTAAGCCGTGTCTGTGAAACCGGGGGTAAAATTAATACTAAAAGATTAGGGCTAACGCAAAGACTAAAACCAAGGCAAAGTCAAAGTGACACTGAGACTCAGATTATGATAAAGGCTAAAACTAAGACTAAAATTAACAGTAAGATTAAAACAAACACTAAGATTAGGATTTAACAGACAAAATCAGACTAAGATTATGATTTTCAACTTTAAACATCTGCTTAACAATAACAAAACAAAAACTGAGATTAAGATACAGACTAAGATTAAAGGTAAAACAAATATTAGGACTAAGGCAAAGACTAAGACAAACGCAAAGCCAAATTTACACTGAAACCGATATTAAGATAAAGACTAAGACTAAAACTAAGATTAAAATTAAAGGGGTCATATGATGCGATTTCAAGTTTTCCTTTCTCTTTGGAGTGTTACAAGCTGATTGTGCATAGATAAGATCCCTGAAGTTGCAAAGACTAAAGTCTCAAAACCAAAGAGATATTCTTTATCAAAGTTAAGACTCTGCCACGCCCCCTTAAGACTAAGTCTAAGATTAAGACAGAACAAGATCATATATGATTGGGAATCACAACAGAAAGACTGAATGTATAATAAAGACTAAGATTAAGATTGACACAACAATTAGGGCTAAGGCAAAAACTAAGACCAAGGCAAAGTAAAACTGACACTGAGACTGAGATTAAGAAAAAGGTAGTCTCAGCCTCAGACATCACGCCCACGGACCGCTGGCTGAACGCCTGATGCATATGGGACACAAAAGTGGAAACACTTCAGGAGTTTCGAAGTCGTCATCGGATTGGTTGAATTCTACAGGATTTCGGGGAGACGTGTGTCGCGTTCGTTAACGTTCCGTCTGGAAACAAAAATGCCGTGACGCCAAACCCTTACGAAAGAAGAAAACCGTCGTGTTTACAACTGTGACGACGAGCGCTTATCAGGATCAACTAAACGCTGGAGTTTCAAAAGTACGTGAAATATTTAAAGTTTGCGGCATAGAATCTTTAAAATACGTCCGAGAGTTTTACACACCGGTCTGTTATTGTGGTGACATTTCCACGCCCCGAAGCGTGACGCTGAAACGAAAAACAAACTGTGTTTGGTTGTTTGACATGTCGGTCAAACGGCTTCATGGGCGGGCCTTGGCCAATGAAAGCTGCCATGGATTCCAGACCTTCAGCCGTCAGTCTGAAGATTTGGCTACGCGAGACTAAGAAAAAGGCTAAAACTAAGATCAAGGTTAACATAAAATCATGACTTAATATATGATTAATTATTGAATGTTAAGATTAAAATAAAAACTTTTTAAAGACATGTTATCAAGAATCACAAAAAGACTGAAATTAATATAAAGGCTAAGATATAGATATAGATATAGATATACCCTGGGGTATATAATTTGGGATCAATAAGATGTTTTAGATTTTTTTTTTAAAAGTCTCTTCTGCTAATCAAGGCTGCATTTATTCTAATATAAAAAAATGCAATAAAAACAGTATCAATGTGAAATATTATTACAATTTAAAATAATGGTTTTCTGTTTTAATATACTGTAAAATATAATTTATTTCTGTGACGCAGCACTGAATTTTCAGCATCATTACTCCAGTATAAAGTGTCACATGATCCTTCAGAAATCATTCTAATATGCTGATTTATTATCAGTGTTGGAAACAGTTGTGCTGTTTAATATTTTTTTGGAACCTGTAATATAAATCTTTTGTGACAATATATACTAGGGTCAATACTTTTTTAAAAAGAAATTAATAGTTTTATACAGCAAAGTTATGTTAAATTGATAAAAAGTGATAGTAAAGACTTATAGTTACAAAAGATAGATAGATAGATAGATAGATAGATAGATAGAAAGAAATCTTACTGACCCTAAACTTTGAACAGCAGTGAGGATACAGATAAACTGAAATTCTAATAAAAACTACAATTAACATTAATGTTAAAATTAACACAGATTAGCTCACTCTATTTACACTGAAACTAAGATTAAAGGCACAATTAATTTGTATTAAAATATCCAAAAACCACTAGAACAGTGTTATATATTTTGCTGACTTGTGTACTTACAGTATTCCAAATGTTTAGAAGAATGTTTAAATCCAGAGAAATAAGCAATTTTAACTAGTGACACGGACCGTGTCCATAGTGTCATTGTGTCGTCTGCCAATGACGTCATAACCCCTCGATTTCCGGTTTTGTTTTGTAGAAAACATAGAAACTTTAATATGCTTTAATATGTTGTGCGTTTTAATAAACCGGAGATGACCGCACAGAGTAGCATTATAACAGAACTTTCAAACGTATCTAGTATGATAAAACAGCGCTGCTTTTTTCCCCC